TTCTGTTATTTAAGACAGTCTCTTTTTTTAAAACATTGCACAGAGCTCCAAGGAAGTAAGTAACTTAAGGGCTAGTAGGGGAGTTTGGTGGGAAGAAAGATACACATCAAACTGAGAATCAAAACAGTTTTGCTTTCATCTGTTTAAATAATGAGGGGAAGGGTTTAGATAATTGCTTGGAAATTCTTAAAATCTTTTTTTTTTTTTTTTTTGACCTCACCAAAAGGCCTCTAGCATTCTAGTTTCCTGATCAGGGACTGAATCCATGCTCCCTGCATTTGAAGCTAAAAGTCTTAATTACTGGACCACCAGGGAAGTCCCTAGATAACTGTTTTTAAAAGTTTTTTTTTTTTCTTTTAAGAATTTGAGCCATTGCTTAAAAGAAAGAAAATCTTTCACAGAGAAGGGACCTACTCTGTGTCAGCTACTTTATATCCATTATTTTCAATAACTATTACCACACCCTTGCCAGTAACAAGGGCTTCCCTGCTGGCTTAGCAGTAGAGAATCTGCCTGCCAACACAAGAGACACAGGCTCGATCCCTGGGTGATTCCCTGGAGAAGGAAATGTCAACCCACTGCAGTATTCTTGCCTGGGAAATCCCATGGACGGGGGAGCATGGTGGGCTCCAGTCCACAGGTCACAAAGAGTCAGACACCACTGAGCGACTGAACAACAACCAGTGATAACCACCTAGTTTGTAGATGAAGAAACTGAGGTGTAGAGATTAAACATTTTGAAGGCCAGAACATGTTATCAGCTAGAGCCAGAATCAGAATCCCCGGTTTATGTATCCTTGAACCCAAAACTTAAGGACTGAGTCTGTTAATTCTTTCTTGTATGTATAATAAGCTTGTTTGTTTAAATGAATCACCCTGTGATGATGGTAGCAATGATGAAAATGGTACCGTAAAAATAACTACTCTTTATTGACTTTCTGGTATTGTAAAAGCATCATTTCCCCAATTTCCCTGGATGTAAGAATTTCTGTGCTTGGCAAATACACAGATTCTCGGGTTCCAACCCATGTCTGCACTATCAGAATTCTCAGGCAGGGGAATTTGGGAAGTTTGGGAACCACTGCACTAGGCTGGCTACATGCTGTGTGCTCTCCATCCATTATCGTATTTGATCCTGTAACAATTGCACCAGGGTTATTATTTAGCCCATCAAACAGATGAGAAACCCAAGGCAGAGAGAAGTTAAGTGCATCGCTCCCGCTGGTAGCTGTGAAAGTGCGTCAAAGTCGCTCGGTCGTGTCTGATTCTTTGCAACGCCATGGACTGTAGCCTGCAAGGCTCGGGCTCTGGCTGTGAAATTCTCCAGGCAAGAACACTGGAGTGGGTAGTCATTCCCAATCTGCAGGAGATCTTCTCGACCCAGGGATCAAACCTGGGCCTCCTGCACTGCAGGCTGGCTCCCTACCATCTGAGCTGCTAGAGAAGCGTAAGCTGTAGTGAGGGCCATCTCAGGTGTCTTCCAGGTCTGAGGTTACACCCCAATAGAAGGGCTTAACTGGCCTCCAGGGGAACTGACATGAGAGTCCCTACTGCTTGGTGTCCTGTGCGGGACAGAGAAGATGCCAGCTTGGCCCTCTGCCCCATCCTTCCTGGTTCCTGAAAGATCTATTCCTACGCTGCTGCTTCTCCTCCAGCGCCTCAAGTTTCCCTCTCTCCACTGGCTTCTTCCTCTTGAGTCGTAAGACGGAGATTTAAAGAGCTGGTCCTTTAGGAGGAGAGAAGTGACTTGTAAATACAAGACTGCCTTGAGCGCCACAGAAGGGGAGCAAATGGGCTTGGCAACAACAGTGCTAAAGAAGCCGGCTGCCACTGAAGGAGATGTAAGAGATGGGGGTTCAATCCCTGGGTCAGGAAGATCCCCCAGAGAAGGAAATGACAACCCTCTCCAGTACTCTTGCCTGGAGAAGCCCATGGACAGAGGAGCCTGGAGGTCTACAGTCCACAGGGTCCCAAAGAGCCGGCCACGACTGAAGCAATGTAGCACGCATACACGAAGGTGAGCAAAGACAAAAGGGACCATGAGACTCTGGAAGAGAGACGTAAGTCCTGCTTTGGAATATTTGAGATGGTGTGGTATGGCCCCATTCCCACAGGCCAGTTCTAGGACATGGGTAGGTTTTCCACTGGCAGCAGTGGGGTGAGGTCACCAAGAAAATATTCTGCCCTCTTCTTTACTTTGCAAGTTGGGTCTCTGGAACTTAGACCAAGGAAGGGAAATAAATCTCAACCCTAGAGATGGGCTAGTTGTCTTTGTCATCTGTTTCAAAATAGGACAGAATTACAACCAGCTGGTCGTGACTTTCCATCCTGACCTCTGCAGGAGGGGGTGCGAAGCCACTAGAAAGTCCACTGCTTGTCCAGGGCACCAGCCTGCATCTCCCTCTTGGAGTGGCGTGGTCGCTGTGGGGCTTTCTGCTTTTATTTTTAATTTTGTTAGTAACTGCAAGCCTCATTGTTTCGGTATTTTGAATACAACATTTTGTAAGTTGAAAATAGAAGGAGAGGACAGAATGTGCAACGTTTTCTAGTTCATTGTTCCATGTCCATAAAAAAAAACAAAAAACACTCCAAAAAGGAAAATTCTACACTCTCCAAGGTGGCAGCTTTAATCGCACTGTTCTCTCAGTAATTTACAGTGAAGGGTAAGAAATGAAGCTCCTTTAGGCCTCTCATATTGGCACACACCAGGGCAGCCTTGCCCATCCTCACCACTTTTAACATTCTAACATTTCACAGCTCTTCCATACGAATGGACCACCACCATGTGCTGATCATCACCTGCTGTGGACTCAGGGTTCACCACACCCCCACACTTCAAAAAAGAAACGTTGAGCTGCTAACCCCCAGTAGCTGGGAACATGATTTTATTCAGAAATAGGGTCTTTGTAGATTTCATCAAGTCAGAAGAGGCTGTCCAGAGTGGGCCCCGATCTAACAGGAAGATGGCCTTGTGATAACACAGAGATACGGGGGAAAGCCACGTGGAGATGGAGGCAGAGACTGGAGTCAAGCATCTACAAGGGGAGGACACCAAGAACCGCTACTGTCACTGGGGACTTGGAGAAAGGCCTGGACCAGACTCTCCCCCAGACCCCTAGAGGGAATCAATGCTGCCGATGCTCTGCTTTGGGACTCCTGGCCTCCAGAACTCTGAGAATAATTTTCTCTTATTTTAAGTCACTCAGTTTGTGGCCCTTTGTAACAGCCACTCTCCAGGACATAATATGCATCTCAACTAAGAACTGTCCACAAAAGAATTCTGTGTAATGTTACATATAAAATTTAACAAAAATGCTGAACCTGACAACCATTCTAAGTATGAAAATGATGATCATGTGAGAGTGTGGGACCTTATAGAGTGGTTGCTAGGCTACTTGGATGGAGAAAAATAAGGTTTATCAGAGAGAAGTTTGTTTCATCTTCAGAAGGAACCTCAGAGATAGATGGTCGAATCCACGAGAGGGGGAACTATGTCCTGCAGGGCAGAATCAGCCCAAGGTCCATCACTGCACAGAATGGTTTGTTTATTTTTAAACCATTCTTAATGTGGGTCCATCTCTCTTTCCCTTCCATCCAGCAGAGGCCTCCCGATGGATGGGGAACCACAAGATGGAAGGACTTTTGGTCCCCAGAAGACTTTGTGGCGTATGCCCCCTGACCCCCAACTCACGTTTTACTGGTACATGGCAGTGCTAAGTCACTTTCAGTCGTGTCCGACTCTTTGTGATCCCATGGACTGTATCCCACCAGGCTCCTCTGTCCATGGGATTCTCCAGGCAAGAATAATGGAGTGGGTTGCCATTTCCTTTTCCAGGAGATCTTCCCAACCCAGAGATCGAAGCTATGTCTCTTAAAACTCCTGCATTGGCAGGAGTTCTTTACTGCTAGCGGCCCTGAGAAATACCTCCTAACTGTGTTCAGCCACTGACATGTTCTATGTTGTGACTGTTGCCCAGTCCCAACAAATACTCTTATTCTCTGTGCGAGTCTGACCCTACTTCTACTCTAACCCTAATAAAAGCATTAACTTTTATCCTTTTATTAACTCTAATAAAAGAAAATGCAATGGAGACCACATGTGGCCCAGGAAGCTTAAGCTACTTACTCTCCAGCTCTTTACAGCAAGCTTGCCAACCCTTGATCTAGTCCAGAGATTTATAGTATCATCATTATTTTTTAGTGTGGAGCATTTATGTTTATTAAAAATAAAACATAGACACAAAGAGGCTGTGAATGAAGCAGGCACACCAACTTGAGCTCTCCTACCACTGAGCTGATTGGGCCTAACTGTGAAAGTGAAAGTGTTAGTTGCTCAGTTGTGTCCAACTCTTTGTGACTCCGTGGACAGTAGCCTGTTAGGCTCCTCTGTCCTTGGAATTCTCCAGGTAACAATACAGGTTGGGTTGCCATTCCCTTCTCCAGGGGATCTTCCCAACACAGGGATCAAATCTGGGTCTCCTGCGTTGCAGATGGATTCTTTACCGTCTGAGCCAGCAAGGAAGGCCTGAAGGAACCCATGGTTCCTCTAAATGATCACTGCTCTGATACAGGCAATGAACGATCAGGCCCTCAGTGTCTCAGCAGTCCTGAGCCCAACACTTCGCACGCATTCTTAAATTTAATTTTCCAAGTAATCACAGAAGTGCATTATCAGTATCCCCATTGTTATGCATGAGGGAAGGGAAGCTTTGAAAAATTAAATACATTAACTGTCCTATATTTAGAGTTACAAGAATACTGGAGTGGGTAGTCACTTCCTTCTTTGGGGGATCTTCCCTACCCAGGATTAAACCCATCTGGGTCTCCTGCATTGCAGGCAGAGTCTTTACTATCTGTGCCACCAGGGATGCCCATATTTACATCTAGTCAATGACAAAGACAGGATTCACATTAACAGCCTTCTGGCTCCAAACCTCCCCACTTTTAACAGTGTCGCATTGCTCTCCCCAAGTGCAGCTGCTGTCTAAGAGCTCTCCCACCTTCTGGGGGGTGGGTGTGCATGGCCGTGCCCAGGTCTAGAGAGGTGAAGGGTGTGTCCAAGGCCAGAGGCTCACTGGCCATGTAACTGGATCTCCAGTCCAGGTCTTCTGACTTCTGACTTGCAGTCCTGTCATCCTGATCTGACTGGCCCTGGGGTGCAGGGACGGGCAGGTGGGAGGGTTGAGGTCCCCACCTTCTCCTTCTCATCAGTTTGGTGGGCTGCAGAACGAGACTATGTAGAAGGTGCTTGCCAGACCATTGTCTCTTCCTCAGTTTCCTGTCTGGTTCTGGCTCACACAAGTAGCACCTCCCTCAGCAAAGCCCCTTGCAAAACTCACATCTCCGGGGATGGGGGCGAGGTTGGGGGGATGGGGCAGAGGGTGAGCTCTGATCTCCAGGAGCTGCCAGTAAGGTCAGCAGAGCAGCCCCCGCCCCGCACGGACTTGGCCAGCCTTCCTCCAACTCTGTGCCTCCCCACCCCACACCGTTTCTTTCATGTCCCCTGCCCTGAAAGCACGGATCTGTCTTCTGATGCCAACTCTTGCTCCCTGAGAATCTGCCTCTCCACGCCGGCACCTCAGCAGAGGCTTGACTGACATCAGCAGATTCCTTCTGAACCCAGCCCGGAGGACTGCCCAGGTTTTACCCCAAGGGCTACATTTCCAAGACTCTCGCCGCCCCCACCCCACCTCCGGGGAGCAGCAGCCCCGTCCTCCCCTGTGAACAGGGATTTGTGTTCATGGCATTGACTCCAGTGGCTTTGAGAGACAAGGAGTCAGGAGCAGTGGTAATAATAACAGAATTATTTCACGAGTGAGGCATACACAGAGTCCCTTGTAAGGCAGGTGCTATTATAATCTCTGTTTTGCAGATGCGGTAACGTGTTCAAGGACACAGAGTCAGGAAAGCTTGGAGTCAGACTCTGACTTCCACAGCCTGGGTTCTTATCGCTCCTCTAATGTGCCTGGAGTCAAGACAGCAGTCACCTTTGTGGATGCCAGGCCTGCCTCTCGGTGCCCTGTCATTGTGGCGGGGAATCACCGGGAGGCATGTGCTCACATGTTTTCCGTGGCATTGCCTATGTTTTCTCCCCACTGGGCAGCTAGGCCGTCTGTCTTCACTGCTCCAGGGAAGGGAAAACCAGCAATGTGGAGATAACGTAAGAGTCATATTTTTAGCTTTCGAGTCTCAAATCCCAGGCTTTCGGCATAAACCAGACTGGGAAATTTACATGGATGGCTGGGAAACTCTTAATCTGGGCCTGATAAGACTTTTCAGAACTGAGAGCTGGAGGAGCTGGGGAGCTGATCTGATGGTGGGGTCTCTGGGAAGGAGCCCTGGGGGCCTCCCACTGCCCTGCAGCCCAGCATCCCCCAGGAGGGGTGAGATGTAGCAGTCAGACAATTCTGGAGATGGCAAGTCAGAAACCTGGCCTCCCTCGGATCTGCCTGAGGACAGACACCCTGATTTGACTGAGGTTGCCTCTCCATGACTAAGAAATACTGGTGTTCAGAAGAGAAATTAAGTACATTTATAAAAACAAAAACCAATAAGGACCATTGCATTTCTTACACAGCTGAACCTGGGGCCCTGTTAACCCACCACGGGTGCAAGATCTTCTCTGGTAGTCCAGTGGTTAAGGTGCCACACTCTCAATGCAGGGAGTGCAGGTTTGATCCCTGGTTGGGGAATTAAGATCCCACACATCACGTGTGCAACCAAAACAACAAAAAAGGAAAAGATCTCACTCTGCTGCACTGATCCTACAGAATTCATCTTTATTCTCCCCATAGGATAGGTTCTTCCCTAGTGCCTCAGATGGTAAAGAATCTGCCTGCAATGCAGGAGACCCAGGTTCAATACCTGGGTTGGGAAGATTACCTGGAGAAGGGAATGGCAACACACTCCAGTAGTCTTGCCTGAAGAATCCCACGGACAGAGGGACCCGGTGGGCTATAGTCCATGGGGTCACAAAGAGTTGGACACGACTGAGCAATTACCACTTTCATAGGATAGCATTTGATTACAGAGTGCAAACATTACTTCCCCGGGGAGCCACGGCTATAAGTAGAGGAAAAAAACAGCAGGAGAAAAGTGGAAAATAAACCATGAAGGAAAAAGAAAATCGAAGGAACAGTCAGAGGCAGGTAGAGACTGCCTCACAGAGTCTCAAAGGTACAACCATCCCAGAAAGAGCATTCGCTTTCATCCCCCAGTCCGAGTGAGTGCTCCATCAGGATATACTTACATTTTATTTGGCGGACTAGTTATTCCCTCCATCCTTTTCCCCGAAGCTGTAGCTTGGGGTCGGACATTGTGAAAACGGAGCCAGCCTCCACGAAGGAGGTATTTCAACTGCGTCGTTTCGGTGAAGAAAAAAAAAATGGCGTGTGGATCAGAGTTCTGTCTTGGAAATTATGCTTTGTGACAAATATGTTACGAATGACTCCCCCCGTAACCCGCGCCAGTGTGTAGGCTAACACAGCATTCAATTATTTTAACCTGCCATGAACTCGCCTGTGATAAATCATGGGAAACTGCAGAGAAGGCTTCGGTCACTGCACTGCTTCACTCGCTGGAGTCATTCACGGCTCTAAAAATACAGTTTCTATCATCGGATTCCTGGGATTCCTGCAGTGCTTACATTCTGATTTAAGTGGCATTAAAGCCGGGGTGATTAAGCGGAGAAGTCCAAGGCTACCAACCAACACAACGTGCCCTGAGTATCAGCCGTATATCGGTGGAGCGCACGGTTTGGCCGATACGCAGCTGGAGTGCGGTCAGAGCCTGGCCTCTGGGTTTGGGAAGAGGCTGGGGGTTCTCAGCCTGAAAAAGGACCTGTTGGTGAAAGTGTGGACAAGGCTTTTGGTGGAACCAATCTTGAGAGTAAGGGGATCAGATCGTGTCAAGTCCAATTTGGAACAGGTTTGGAAGTGATGGGGGGTTGAATGTTCATATTTAAGCCTCAACTCAAGCATAACCTAGGGCTGTTTTGTTCAAACAGGCAAGGATTCTAATAATGGACTAATGTTGTAGAATAAGGCTGCATCTACTTCATCTTTAAGACTACCTTCTCCACGCTCCATCTGCGGAGAGAGATGGATCCTTTCGCCACTTTTCCTTGTGGTCCTGACAGTTCCACCCTGATTTTATGGCCCCTCCATCTCCTGGAGGATTCTTGGGAAGGCTTGAGTGGCTGCTGCTAACTCAATTTATAGCACGTCTATTTGCAAGAGGCTTTCCCTGGTGGCTCAGTGGTAAAGAATCAACCTGCCAGTGCAGGAGATGTGGGTTCAGTCCCTGGGTTGGGAAGATCCCTAGGAGAAGGAAATGGCAACGCATTGTATTTTTGCCTGGGAAGTGCCACAGACAGAGGAGCCTGGTGGGTTGCAGTCCATAGGGCTGGACACATCTTAGTAACTAAACAACAACTATTTGCAGGAAAAGAAAGAGAGGAGGGGGAGAGATTTGGGTTTGTTGCTTTTATAAATAAAGGGTTATAAGATTTGAGACATGAAGTTCAGTAGTGCTACAGCAAGAGAACCACCACTGTACTGGAAATCCATTGTTTGGGGTGGTCATTCCTCCAGGCTCAATTTCCTCTCCCAGTAAAATTAGTTAGCTGGGTTAGTTCTCAACCTGAGCTCTATATTAAAATCCCAGGGAGAATTTTAAAAGCATGCCAATGTTCTAGCCCATCTCCAGATCTTATTTAATTACTCTGGGGTGGGGGGTTTCTCTAAGTAGTTCTGATGTCAAGTCTGAGGTCTCCATCAGCTTTTATGCCAAAGCCTCTGTGATGGTCTGAGCTTTTAAGGAAAAGGAGCAAAAGTAACCCATGATAAATGGCACTGGCCTGTTACAGCTGGGACCATTCTGATACAGTATTTTTCTAGGATGCTTTGCAGAAGTTTTCTACCCCACCAAGTGGTTGGGGACAAAACAGTAGTAAAATACATGATTTTGATACATTCACTACTAGGAATACAGAGGGTATGGCTCTGCACATGACAGGGGTTAAGTCTTGAGCACTTATCCGTAGAGCTGACATTCCCAACTTGTGATAAAATATATATATATATATAGAGAGAGAGACAGACAGAGCTCTTCCCGGGACTCCAGTTCGATGCTCTGCATTGACCAGGGTCTGATTTTGAAGAGCACATGAGTTATTCCAGGTCTGAGACTTACTCCACCATTGTTACACATCTCGTATACCGCTATAGGATGCTGTCTGTGACGTAGCGCTGTGAGAAATGGTTGTGGACGTAAAAACGCTATTAATGAGAAAAATCCTTGTCACCAGCCATCCTCTGGGGTTTCTGGATTTGATTACCACTTTTTCTCTGCTTGACAACCTGACTGGTGTTTAATGCTTTCTCATCTTTCCTGATAGGGACCGCTAAGCACATTATGTTCTCCCAGTTGGCAACGCCACAAAGGCCGCAATAAAACCCCCCGCTTGTGTAATAAACCGTTGTACAATCTACTGCTTATGAACAAGGTCCCTGAAAGTGTGCAACCTTTCTGCACGTTAAACACAAAACAGATGGAGGGTTGAAAATAACTTTCCTCTTCAGGGGAGGGGGAAAGCCGAAGGACAGAGGGCCAGGCTCGTGGTTGAAGTCCTGAGTTACTAAGCTGGAGGTTGAACTCTGGTTCCAGGCTGTCAGGGGCAGGTGCATTCTTTCAAGGATGCTCCAGACCTCGGGGACCCGCTGGGTGGGGGGAGGGGCAGCGGGGCTTCAAGGAAACGTGTGTGCAGCGGTGGGGCGGGCGGCCTCATCCACCACTTGCTAGCCAGGTAACCTGGGCAACTAACTCGCTCAGAGCCTGTCTTATCAACCTCCTGCATCAAACGATGAACTTGAACCTTATTCCCCAAGCACACCAGAAAATGGAGTCGCTGGAAATGGAAATAATCATATTTTGTTGCTATTGCTGTATATTTGCTTTTGTTTACTTGTGTGTACACACACACACACACACACACACATATTAATATATAAAGGGCTTCCCTGGTGGCTCAGATGGTAAAGACTGTGCCTGCAATGCAGGAGACCAGGGTTTGATCCCTGGGTCAGGAAGGTCCCCTGGAGAAGGGAATGGCAACCCACTCCTATATTCTTGCCTGGAGAATCCCATGGACAGGGTAATCTGGTGGGTAGTAGTCCATGGGATCGCAAAGAGTCAGACATAACTAACACACACACACACATAATATATATACAAAAAATAATATATATATATACGTTTATATATATTACATAAAATTCATGAGACAGGAGAAGGGATGGAGCCAAGAATTTATAAATGATTATTTACATATACATGCATGTATGTATTAATCTAGATTTATTTTCTCCCTTGTTTTAGGGGAAAATAGTGGCTGTTTATAATACACATTTATCATATGCTGTTTTATAGTTTATGGTGTTATTTGTGGACATGACTGAGATTTAGTTATTAAAGAGAACTAAAAATTCACTTCAGGGTAACCAAATAGCCACCTTCCATTTGTACCCTGCTCCCAAAGACAGGAAAATTGCTGACCCCATGGTAAAGTGTCGGGTCTGAAAGGCAGGCAGCAAGTGTTTTATTGACATACACGCTATTGACACTGTGCATAAAACAGGTAGCTGATGAGAGCCTACTGTGCGCACAGGGAACTCTACTCAGTTCTCCATGGTGACCTAAAAGGGAAGGAAATCCAAAAAAGAGGGGACATGTGTGTTTGTAGAGCTTATTCACTTTGCTGACTAACAAAACATTGTTTTGCAAAAACTAACACAACATTGGAAAGCAGATATACTTCAATAAAAAATAATTAAAAGCAAAACATAATAATGACACAGAAAACTTTCCTTAAAATATAGAATCTTTTGAAGTGCTGATGAGGCATCTGCTAAAGGAATGAGATTTGGGGGAAAGAGAGGGCTTTCAACTAGTTTTACTTGTCAGGGTCCAGTCAGGAAATCAGAGCTCACACAAGGAATTTCGAAGGATGGGATTTTTAAGAGAAATC